GTTTGATATCTTATACTGTTTATAAATCCTTTTTCACTTGAAAACAGCTTCCATTTCAACACGGCCCCTTGATGCCGTACATGAATAAAGCGGCAACATTGTGTTCGAACTTTGTTAAACCGAGATGAAAGATGATACATACATCCCCTTAGACCGCTAGATTCCAAACTCCATGACGTATACATTACGGTATATCATGGAAACAAAGAATTTGATAAGTGAGGTTGCTATGAACAGATCCTAGTCGATTCGATTATGCTGCTCTATCAAGTTGAGAATAATTTGGAAGAATTTACAAATCATCCTCAGTTAGAGAGCACTAGTGTAGGAGCGGCGCAGAAGTCATGAGTTTTTTCACTGTCATTATCGTATTCTTGTTAAATTACTTTTATGCAAAAGATAGATTACATGGGTTGACATACATCCATCAACAAGAACGTAGGGGATTACTACAGATCAGATCTTATTTAACCTTTGTAAGCAAGAATGGCTTGTAGAGAAAACTGTGCAAGCCCTGTATAACTTTTCCGCTTTTGAAAAGGCCAAGCGTTTGTCTTAGCGACCATCATCGCTGAAGTGATTTGTTTCAGTTTTTTCCAAATCGTACGTCTTTCAGACCGTTCGTGCCTGTTCATGCTTGCCTCTTTGAGTAGCTCAAATCCAGAATAGCGAAACGCTATTGAGTACAAAAAATATTCAACGATAAATCAAAGTTTCTTCAAAACAAAGAGATCATGGTTCAGCATGTCTACAGTTTCATAGTCTTCTCGACTGGGATACACTGAATAAGGCCGGTCTTCTCTGTAGGTTGCCAACCATTCGAAACCTTTGATAAAATGATGATAATCAGTACTGTGACAAAGACCTTACCTGTCATCACCATTGCTAACCGCATACGTCCATAATAGCGATGTCTATTGTATTTTAAAGCATCTTCACCTCGCGGAACTCCAAGAAAGAACAATCCTCAAGTTACTGGCTGTCATTACAGTACATCATGCGCAGAACTCGTTTACCTCCTTTTCTCAACAAACACCAAATTTTCGTGACCTCCCTCAAGTCTCCGTTAGGATCTATATTGTCGCCGTATCTGGTTAGGAGTGCATTTGTGTTTCTTATTACATATTTATGTAAGCTCACCTTCCTAATCCACTGTGCTCAATGGAGGAGAACGAAATGGCAAAATCGAATTTTTCCAAATTACTAAAGTAAGTAAGCGAATGCAGAAGGTTTAATCAAATACGAGGGCTCACTTTTTCCACTGTTCCGCGAAGGCCATCGGATGTATATATCTCACTTTTGTAGTATTTGTTATTGTTATTTTCTTATATTCGACCGTGTATACCTGCGCTGTATACTTAAATTGAGAACTTGATCTATTTTGAACTATGAACTACTCGTAAAGCCTCCTCACGCTCACTCGTAAATGTGCGTGTGACCAATCTGCTCACAGATATTTACTCATTTTAGATTTTTAAAACATCTCGAGTACGTCTCCAACATTGCAGTTCCCACCTTGAAGTTCTGTTTTTTATGTTCTTTGTATTGTTGAGCTTTTTCACAAAAAAAGAGGCCTTCTGGGGAGTAAGAATGAAAAAGGAAGTTGGTTATATCTTTGTATCTCGCTCCTAATAATTTGTTACTCCAAACAGATACTGTATTTTTTGCTGATACAAGCGCTTTGATACTACAGAGTTGTCAATTTGCTACGGTTGGGTTTCAGCTATACTGTTATTTACAACATCTTGTTTCAATTGAAAAAGTTATTACCGTGATAGCACCACTACGCAGAGCTTCTACTTCTATCCAGGGATTTTGCGAGCCAAGTACGAAGCCGGTTAGATTTTCAAGAGGATGAACATGCAAGGCTTGGTATACCGCTTCTGAAGTAAACATCGAGAATGAACGGATCTCGGTTAAATAAATCATCAGCAGACAACATTTGAAGCTCCTTTTTTGTCAATTTCTTATACGGTTTTTCGAGGAGTTTCACTCATCTTTAGTTACAGACCCCGAAGGAACGAAAGAAAAGATAGAGTCTCACAGAAGCATGTGCTGGGGACTTGCTACAATGCTCGTGATTGTTCAAAAAATTCACTCGTTTGCCGTTCCACGAAGAGCGAGATTATGGGGTCTTTCGAAGTTTTCTGCACTAAATTTTCTTGAAAAAATTTAGATAAAAGTCATTTTTCTGCTCAGGCGATCCCAATCCTTGAACCGAAAATCTTTCAATGCTGCAGATAGATTGATGCTC